CTAAGTTTAGTATATTTTTTTAGTTGAGATGATAATTTACTGAAAACAATCAAGATCTTGGAGGCGGACATCATGAATTAAGTCGGGGGATCCTCCATCCAAACTACATAAGAACAAATAGATAAAGCAAACTTCGCTAACCAATAAACATGAAATATGCGAGATCTTTACCTCGTGTAATTGAGTTTAATGTATTGATTATTCTATTGCAAAATTTATACTCGTGGTTTATTTTTAGAAAATTGTTATTAACACTTTAAAACTCTCATTTTGCACTCCTTATTAGTGTATTTTTTATTTTAATTATAAAAAGTTTAGAATGAAAAAATGAGAGTTTAGAGTGCCAATAACGATTCCATATTTTTAGTGCAATAAATGACCAACTTTTTTTAGAGAAAGAAAATAACTAGTTTTCAAAAAAGTTGTTAGAATAGCCAATTTATTGGTGGTTCAAATTCATATATTTAACTTATATCTACTCTACTATTGGCTAATCTATTTCTCATTGATTGTGCTGGATTTGAACTCATGAGTTCAGTTGGACTCAATAATTAAAATTATTCTTATAGAACTCAAAATTTTCAATTCACTTTACATTGAAGTTAATTTTCCGTCACACTTGGAAATGCCTAATTATCTAACATTTAAGGAATAATAAAGAAAGAAAATGTTTGGTTTGCGAAATAAGAATTTGGAGAATACTTGGTGGATGATGGAAGATAAAGAATTCCTACTTAAAATTGTTCGTTATTGATTTATAGAACTTTGTGTTTGTGATCATAACCGTTTATATTATAAATTACTTTAAAAATATCATATCTGCAAAAAATAATTAATTTAAGGTCATTAAGTCATCGAACTGTGTAAAAATAGATGAACGAAATTAATAAAAGCATTATGAACCGTCTATGTATGTGCTACAATAGATTGACTAAACGATCTTAGTTTTAATTTTTTTTTTTTTTTGCAGAGTGATCTTTATAAAGTGATTCCTAAAATCAACAGTTATAGTTATAAATATAAAGCTCTATGATTCGAACACAAAAATTTGAGTAAGAATTCTTACTCATTCTTAAATAGCCAAGCGTTGTTCATAGGGTGTGCTATCTACACATCCTATTTTACTTCTCACACACCCCTTGATAATTTCTGTCCGTTGATCTTCTTCGATTCATCCGATCCGACGATCGAAAATTAAAAAGGTGTGTGAGAAGTAAAATGAGGTATATGAATATCACACCCCTGTTCATAATGCCTAGCTTAGAAGATAAAATGGTAAAAATAAGTACTCATAATGCAAGTTCATTGCGTAATAATTACCGGATTATATTAAGACACACAGTCTTATAATGCAGCACCAAGCCACCAAATAATTTTACCAAAAATGAAAAGAAAAATTGCTTTTATTATAGCCCATCATTATCAACCTAGCCCAATCTCTGCCTAAGCTACCTACCACCCTAGTGCCTAGACCCCTACAAATCTACACTTGACCTATGTAGGCTAGGGTAGGTCGGTCCACATCTCTACTGCCTAACCCACTCAGCCTCCTCCTATAAAATAATAAAAATAGCTATTTTACACATAAAAGTAAGCAATTTTTTTTTCAAAAGGCAAAAGGATTTGAAAATAAAGTAATACATTGAAAATGTAAGATGGTATTATCTACACATATATTTATAATTTGTATACACTTTTTTAATTTTGAGCTGTCGGAACGAATGAGTTGAAGAATATTATATGACAAAAATTAACAGAGTATGTAGGAAATAAAAATGGAATAGCAATGTCCAAAATATGATGTAATAATAATTCAACTTATATATGAGATGTTTCAATTTATATCAGTTACCACTTAGCATTACGGTCTAGTAGTATTCAACTTTACTTATAAGTGAAATGTCTTAGATTTGACTCTTGTCAAAGGTAAATTGAAACCACATTATTGCTTATTTATTGTGAGGCTTAGTCTAATCTCCTATCTCTTAACGTAGAAAATATTATTTGTTAAAAAAAAATTACAAAGTATTTTGTTGCAAAATCCAAAACATACTAATAAGTTGTTAAGGTGAGGTAATACCGATAACATTGATGGTAATTCATGCCAAACTTAAAATATTAATTTTCTATAAAATCAAAGACTATATATTGTACATAAAATCTTGGAAACACTTGGATTTAAAGAAAATAACTCGTATTATTGGGTGATAGAATATTATTGTAACAAAACTCAAAAGTAAAATATAAAAAGGTTGAAAAGGAAAATAGGTGGCAGTAGTAAAAACTGCAGAGCGTTGGCGCGCATAATGCGCACTATATCAGAGACAGCACAGCCCCACCAAAACGCGCTGCAGCTGACCTTAAAACTGAACCCAGATACTTTTCGGATCTTAAAAAATGGAGTCTGAAGATAATGATTTGGACTATTAAAATTTGATCAAATAGTTACAAATTTATTTTTTAAAAATTATAATAATTATAATCGTTAATTAAATTTCAACGATTCGGATCATTTAATCATTGGGCTCTATTTTTTAAAATCGGGAGAGGATCTGGGTTCCATAAAACTAAGTAAGCAGGGTAGAAATATGGATCAATTAATGTCATTTATTATCTTCCTCTTTCCTTATACTGTTTTCGGTTGCCCTTTTACTTGCTTGCTTATTTGGTTAATTATCCAGATTTTTAGTACGATACTGTATTGAAAACTTTACTAAATTAATCTAATTTAATTTTTAAACCTAATTTAGTCCAGAATAGTCTGAAGGGCAACGAACACCTCTAGTATCTTCCTACTCTAGGAGACCTCACAAGAATTTTTTTATTCCTAACTATTTAATTTATATGTAAGATTAGAGTAGGATTTTGAGATGGGAAAGTATTTTTGTTTCTCATACAAAGCACAGATTGAAATATATTATACGAGCTTTTTTTTATTTTAATTTTTAATTTTATGAGAATATAAATGATTTATTGATATATATGTCAAACTATGTTTTACCGTTAATGACGAATGACCTTTTACATATTAGGAAATAAGCAGTTTTTTTTTAATGACCTAAGTTAAGATTATCTAACCACACTAATTCTGCAAATTCAAATCCTTAAGTTATTTGGAGAAAATCATGGTAATATTATACGATAAATAATACTTAGTTATTCACTAGTGAACGACAGAGATCCTCTCCGGATCTCACTGTCCAAAGCCTAAAAATTAGTCAATCCAGACCACTTAAGATTGAATCCGAGGGTCCTTATTAACTCATTCTGCTTGCTTACTTCACATAACACAAAGGGCTCCGATCTCTCTTTTACACAAAGGGCTCCGATCTCTCTTTTACACAAATGAATGGACCAGATTCTCTGATCCTTAAACTTCGGACATTAAGGTCCGGACATGATAAAAATCCACTAGTGAGTGCTTTATATATTCATTTTCTAATTTAGCCTAATTAAAAAATGCTACGTGTTTTATTATTTTTTATGGGATAATTTGATTGCGGTCCCTAATCCTTAACATTATTTGATTAAAACCTTAATAGTATTCAAAGTTTGATTAAGGTCCCTTGACTTTGTACACCTCATTATATTACTATTAATATTTTTATTTTTATAGTTTTGACATTAATTGTTTGATATTTTATGAGATTTATAATCCTATAAATTTAAAATCCCTCATTATAATACTATTAGAAACGGTTACAATAAAAAAATTCAAACATTTTAATTGAATAAATGGATAAAAACTATGTAAAAATAAGAAATAATAAATGGCAAAAGAATGTATCCATAGTGTTAAAAAAATTGGTACATTTCACATATAACAAAGTGGTACATTAATAAAGAAGAATGGGTACATTATAAATAAATTAGGGTACAAATAAAAAATTAAAAATTTTGAGTACAATTTTCAATTTTCAATTGATTACTCCATTGATTAAAATCCTATTTATTTTTAATTTTTGATCAAGGTCCTTGGGTATTAATAACATCATTAATTATTTGAATAATAAAATATTTTTATTTTTAAATATATTCCTTTATTGTTAAAAATGTTACAATTAGTATATTTATATTTATGGTTAAATTTTTTATCATATATTTTTATTTTTAGTTACCAATTTTTAATTTGCAAATATTTTTAATTTGTACCAATTTTCTTTTCATTTTTAATTTGTACCCATATATTAGTTTCTTTTTGTGCCCATATTTTTTAAAGTTTTATTTGTGATTGTACCCATGTGTATACCATTACGTGACATTGTATATTTAATCAATGATAGAAAAATTACATATGGTATATTTATGTTTTATGCCTAAACTTTGTATCATAAATTTATATTTTTAGTTTGTACCCACTTTTAATTTGCAACATTTTTTTTTAAATTTGTAGTATTTTCTTTTTAGTTTTATTTTGTACCCATTTATTAATTTCTTTTAGCATCTATATTTTTAAAAATTCATTTGTACTCATAATTTTTAATTTTTTATTTGTACCCTAATTTATTTATAATGTACCCATTCTTCTTTATTAATGTACCACTTTGTTATATGTGAAATGTACCAATTTTTTTAACACTATGGATACATTCTTTTGCCATTTATTATTTCTTATTTTTACATAGTTTTTATCCATTTATTCAATTAAAATGTTTGAATTTTTTTATTGTAACCGTTTCTAATAGTATTATAATGAGGGATTTTAAATTTATAGGATTATAAATCTCATAAAATATCAAACAATTAATGTCAAAACTATAAAAATATAAATATTAATAGTAATATAATGAGGTGTACAAAGTCAAGGGACCTTGATCAAACTTTGAATACTATTAAGGTTTTAATCAAATAATGTTAAGGATTAGGGACCGCAATCAAATTATCCCTTTTTTTAAACCTGAGAAAAATTAATTAACACATATATTATTATTTAAATCAATAAGACATGTGTAAAATATCATTGGCGAATTAAAATGATAATAACATACTATTTGAAGTGGGAGTTCATATTCTGTTGCAGAAGCAGTCTCTTCAAAGCTCCATCCATCTCTCTCCCCCTCCCTTTGCAAATCAAATCAAAATCCTATGAAACCATGTTGGGACTCAGAGATATCCTCCTCATTGCCCCAACTCCAACTTCCTTGCACCACCAACAACATCAACCCATTTCCTCCGAACACCACACAGCCCTCCCTCTGCCGTCCTCCGCCGCTCTCGGCGTCGGCCTTGGAATCTTCCCTCTTCTCACCGCCACCCCACACGCACCAATAGCCGAGGGCAACTCTGACACTTCCCACTTCTGGGGACTCAGGAAGTGCCAAGACCCCAACTCTTCGAAGCAGGACATGCTCAACTTTGGAAACCAAAACCATGGTGGCGCTCAGCAGCATGAACAGGTTGTGGACTGTCATGGCAATAATGACAGAGACGGCGCCGGTGGTGGCAAGAGCTCCAATATGAAGGCTTGCAAGGACTGCGGAAACAGGGCAAAGAAGGGGTGTGAGTACAGGAGGTGCAGGACTTGCTGCAGAGGACACGGCTATCACTGCTCTACTCACGTGAAGAGCACGTGGGTACCGGCGTCCAGGCGGCGCGAGCGTCAGAATATGGTCACAGTTGCTGTTCCTGGCGTTGGCGGTGGTAGCGGCGGCGGAGAAGGTTTTGAAAGATCACATTTGTATTCAGTGATCAAGGAAAAATTACAATAAATTATAAATCTTTTCATCTAAAAAAATTAGTTTAAGAAATTTAAAAATTAAATCATAAACATGGTTCGCCTGCAGGTTCTTCTGGATCTTCTTCTGTTGCCAAAAGACCAAGAGTTGCTGTTCCATCACAGAATGCAAGTACAGCTTCTACTCGCCTTTTCCTTTACTTTTTCTTAAATTATTGATTAAAATTGTTTCTAACTTTTGTTCTGTTGAACTGAGAGGCAAAGGCAAACTTGGTTTTGTGTTGATTTGCAGATGCAAATATCAAACGCTCGTTGCCGGATAAAGTTCGTGCCCCTGCAGTTTTCCGGTGCCACAGAGTCACCGCGATCAGTAACGGCGAAGCTGAGTTAGCGTATCAGGCGACGGTGAAAATAAGCGGCCATGTTTTCAGGGGGTTGCTGTATGATCATGGGGTTGATGAGAACAACACATTACCGTGTATTTCACAACCGAATTTGGAAAGTGATACAAACCAAAGAAATGCGGACTCTGCTTCTACTCCGACTGTTCCTCCATCAAACAATGCCTGTCCAACCTCAACCAGCTGAAGATTATTTGGAGGTATGGCCAATCTGTCCCGGAAGATTAAAACTTTCTTCGAGATTTTACGGATTATTTCTTGTGTGTTCCTGCTTTCGTACCTAACCTGCATATGTCATGAATGTCGAATCGATTTAGAACTGAGAGATAGAACTTTAGAATGCCAAAGATCTTAGATGATGAAACTCCCAACTCCAATGCAACAGTTATGGCAGGTTTACACCCTGTTGCTTGTTGCAAAATGGATTTATTATCTTTCTACCTCGAAACTTTTTGGCTGTCTTGCGAAAATTCATGATCTTCTAGAACTACTTTGAAGAGTGAAGCTTCATATGCAAGTCCGATTCGCTGTTGTGCAAGATCTGATTATACTACAATCGACGCTATTAATACTCTCCGACTAAGCTTATGCGTTTACCTTTCGTGCTTAACTGTTGGCATAGTAATTGTTTGAATATTTGGTTTTACAGACATTGCAGAACCCGTTTGTGCTGCTCCTTGATGCTTGAAAAGCCCCTCAGCTACATCCTTAGTTTTGCTACAATTATGTATAAATATAGAAGGCACACACGCCGTAGAGATGCGAGCAAATACCCGGCAGTCCCCTTTCCGGCTGTTAGAACTTTGTTAGTGTTGATAGCTTCCATGTAATTTACCTCCTGAAAAAAGAAGTAGAATGTAAACAAGACGCCATTTTGATTCCATGAAAGTGTTGGGACAAAAAGATGCTAGAATGTTGCATGATGTGGCGATCGATGTGTATCAATCTTTCTGTGAGCAGAATGCAATGCGGTGCATACGTTCAATGTGGCAGAAAAACTTGCCCGCAGCGTATGCAACATTGTTTCTATATCTCTCCTCATATGATTGGTTGACACGCGAAGAGAAAGAGACATTGTTGCATATAACTTGCTGCACTGAAGTTCCCCACCCCCTATCGACATGAACGAAACAAGGAATTAAAGGAAGATAATGGATCACACCCACCAATGTGGGTTGCCAAAAAACAAAGGCATGTTATTCCTTTGTATACACTGATGTGGGAAAGAGAATTCCGGTCATGGATGGCTCGACTGGTGATGCACGGCGGCCTATCTGCGTAAGATTATACGCCAAGTTCAACTTAGGCCGGTGTGAGAGTCAAATTCATAACCATACTTGCAAGATACTGATACAACCACAAAGAGCGGGCAGCGTAGTAGAATCATATCGAATGTATTTGGATTATCGAATCTCACTTGTCGAATCATATCGAATAAGCAACGAAGAATTCGAATTAGACCAGTTAATTATCGAATTTCATTCAAGACCTAACAAAATTTTATTATTCTACTATATACATGCATATGTGTGTTTTGAACGAATACAAAGTTTAAATTACTATTACACACAAGCAACAAATTATATAACAAATTTAACAAATGGACGGCATAGCATACATGCAACAGGGGGTTACCTAAAAGAAACTACCAGCCAGCACAAGAGAGGGGGAAGCTGCGAAGCCCGACGTTGACACACCCTCATATACGCCACTGCAGCAGCTTTGAGGGCGTTCCTGTTACAGCGAACACTCAAAAATGTAGGCACAGTCGCCTAATTTCTGCTATGATGATCCTCCATAAACTACACATCGTTGAGGCAATCAATAATCGTCTTGGAATTACTTTCTCCATTGACATGGCTTAAGTTTGAATCCAAATCCAAATCACTCCCAAGTTGACTTGAAAGTGCATCTTCATAGATGTTGTAGGGTTGAAATCCTTCATCAGCTTAAAAAACCAAGCATCCAATAAGTAACATGATCAGGGTTGGGTTTGTATGGAAGAGCACTTGAGAGGGCCTTCCACATATAATTGGTAACCTTTGAAGGGACCTTGATCTTCCATAACAACTTCGACACCGCACTGTCCATTTGGTGTGAAATGTAGGCAAGTACTAGGGCAGTCCTGAAAGTGAGTGTCTGTTTGGTGATTTGAAGAATCACACTAACAAATGTGGCGCTGGATGTCTATTCTCCTCCACATATACCAGAAAAAAATCACAAATAATTAAGTGCCTGCAATAACATCAGCAAAATTGTTTTCACGGACTTATTATTTTCTCATGGCTTAAGACATTGAACAACAATTTAAGTAAAATTGACCCATGACCTCTCTTGCTCTCTAGATTAGAAAATCTCCAGGGGATTTATGAATAGACTATATCAAACTCTGATGGAAGCCAAAAATCTGTGCATTCCACGAAATCAACTTTCAAGTTTCCAATGCTAACCAAAGTGAGGGACAACAACCAGAAAGATTGACGATACTATGAAGAAAGCATGTATAAACCTACCCAAAAGCTAGGCCAAATGAATTTACTTCTAGCATAATTTTAGTAAGATGTTGGATACAAAATAAACCTTACTTTAAGGAAAAATTCGACCATGATCAAGCATCCTGGATATCGACCTTCCCTTGATACACGCTCAACAATTGAGGTACTTTGCCAAGATATCTGTTCACAAACGTCTCCAAGAACTGTTTCTCCGCAGGTATCACCACTGAACCCAAATTGAAGTTCTCATTTATCAAACCTTTCAACAACAAAACTTTAACAACCGAACACCTCGGGATAAGTCTCCTCTCCAAACTCAAGTTCATGACCACAGGGTACTTGGCAATCATTCCTGACGACCATCTTATCTTGTTCACTAAAAAATCCATCGATTGCATTAGCTTCTGCTCCGACATAATCATACAAGTTGGGCACCGCTTAAAAGCAGAAAGAACATCGTCCTCAGACCAACCCCATTTCTTATAAGCTTCGCGACTTCTATTCCACACCAACTTATTGTTACCACACAAAGTATCTAGTGCACTTGCGAAGGTTGTATTTTCCACATTGATTCCCATTTCCTTAACTTCCCCCACAAGTTTACCAAGTTTTTCAGGATTTAGCATCAAAACAGAACTGCAGTGAGTTAGCAAGAAAGCAATACATGTTTGGGGCATACCTAGTTCCCTCAAAAGCCCGACATTTCGCACCAAATGCTTGCGGTGGCCTTCGACAAAAATCCACGAGGAGCGCTTGATCACTGTAACAACATTTTTCTCAGAAAGCAGCATACTCCTGAGAAAATCATAAGTGGGCATAATCCGGTTTTGCAAGCTCATTACCAAGAGGTTTGGTTTACGAGCCACAGCTTTTGCAAGATCCTCCCTTGAAATTCCCAGAGAGCTGAAAAACTCAATCTTGGGCAGAAGGATTTTCTGAGGATCGAGTTGAAGAATTTTTGGGGCTGACCTGAAAACCTTTGAGATTTGGGTCTCAGAGAGTCCATGGTTTCTCAAAAGTGCCAAAACAGAGTCTGCATTTTCTGAAGATCGCAACTTGAACATCTTGAATGCTGAAACTGCACCTTCTGGGGACAACCCACATGAGTTTATGAGGTAATTGACTGTGAAATGGTGTTGGGTTTCTGAGATTTTTGATGCGAAGGGTCTGTAAAGCAACTGATTTGGAAGAGAAAAGTTTGAGGGGTTGGGATCGAAAGAGACAAATCTTTTGGGTTTGGATGCAAATGTATAAAAAAATTGTGACGAAACCAACCTGAGGTGCTTGAAATTGGAGAACAGTACCATGTTAGATGTTGATGATGAACCAATTTCTGGCTTCTGATGGCAGAACCAAAGGGACCAAAACCCTTGCGGGTTCTAGGTGTAGGGTTTTTCTGGCGCTTTCAATTCCTTTACGGCTATCTATCTATACCTAACGACGTCTCATTGTTCACCGCACATTATAAAATCTCTCGTGCTTAAGATGGATAGTGTTATAGGGTCTCGTTTGGCAAACCGTATTAGACACGGATATACTATTTAGTATGAATTCAATGTTTGGTGTCGTTTGATTAAATAAGAATTGGATAAGCTAATCTGATCCTATACTGCTAGACAAGTAATTAAAAATTTAATTATAGTCCGACCTCTTAATCTGAGATATCACCAAACGTTTGATGATATAGTTAGTACGCCGATTAATTAGTCATTACTATAAGATGTACAAATTAGTATGTTCGATTGAAATAGTCAGTATTGCCTGACGTACCAAACGAGACTCGTAGACTGGTATAGTCCGTTAAAAATATGGGTGTATATTGTCACTTACGCACACCCATGTTTCCTTTTTGTCTTTTGATTCTCTTTTGATTTATTCAATTTAATAACCAACAATATATGTAAGCTTTAGCTTAGTCAAGTTGACTGGAATAGTCTGCTCCCTCCTCTGCATTCAAGTTCAAATACTCATTCCCGTGGTTTAAATTAATTTACTGTCGACAATCGCTTGTATAGAAATGGAGTCACCACCTTCACCCCCAGATCAAACCCTCATCACCATTCACCGCCATGATTGTTAGGGAAAAAGGTACAAATGCAAGTCAATATTTCTCTGCAAAACTAATTAGTAAAAACATTTTCAACAGCATTACGTAAAAATTACTAAACACTGTTACACTGCATCCCTCCTTAAGCGTTTACCTTGGTTGCTTGCTTGTTGGCATACTAATTGCTTGGATAATTGGTTCAAACAGACACTGCAGAAACCAACTACCTTAGTTAAGCTAAAATTATGTACAAATACAGAAGGCACACGGTCCAGACTCCAGACGTGCGCAAATACCCGGCAGTCCCTTTTCCGGCTGCAACGCTCTCCGTGTTGATAGCTTCAGGTAAAAAGAAAGGGGTAGTTTTTAAGGAAAACTGGGAATTGTTGTTAGTAGGCAGTCAGTCTCTTTCCAAATCCCTTGAGATCAGAAAAACTCAATGGGCCATGTAAATAGATTCACCCAAAGATTGAAGTTCCAAAAACACCATCCATTACATCCCCACCAGAACTGGGTTTTTTGCCACCTGAGCTCTGAAGATCCCAGTTCTAAAAGCATTGCAGAAATCGCGTCGCCATTAAGAATAACACGAGAAAATGATTACAAAGCAGCCGTACACATTGTCAGGAGTTTCTATTAGTAACGGAGCAGGGGATAAAGGAGTGACAACATTGCACCCTAATAAAAGCTAAGACATCTGCACATCGACACAATCAACTTTCAAGGCTAACCAAAATCAGGGACAACAAACAGAAAGAGATTGACAACACTACGAAGAAAGCATTTATTGATCTAACTCAAAACAGAGAGGCCATGAATTAGATTCCTACAAAATTTTAGTAAGACGTTGAATACAAATTAAACCTTACTTGAAGGACAAATTCAACGTACCAAGATCATGCATCCTGGATATTCACCTTTCCTTGATACACACTCAACAATCGAGGTACTTTGCCAAGATATCTCTTCACAAACATCTCCAAGAACTGCTTATCCGTAGGTTTCAGCACCGAACCCAAATTCAAGTTGTCATTCATCAAACCTTTCAACAACAAAACTTTAACTACCGAACACCTCGGGATAAGTCTCCTCTCCAAACTCAAAGTGAGTACCACCGGGTATTTGGCAATCATTTTTGAGGACCATCCCATCTTGTTCACTAAAAGATCCATTGCTTGCATTAGCTTCTGCTCAGACACAATCATACAATGCGGATTCTTCTTGAACGCAGAGAGAATATCGTCATCAGACCAACCCCACCTTTTCAAAGCTTCACGACATCTATTGCATACCAACTTATTCTTACCACACAGTGCACGCAGTGCATTCACTGAAGTCGTTTTTTTCAGATTGAATCCCATGTCCTTAACCTCAGCCACAAGTTGACCAAGTTGTTCAGGACGCACCATCAAACGGGAGTGCAATATGTTAGCACTAAGGAGATACCTCGTGGCCTCATACCTGATTCTCTCAAAAGCTCAATATTTGGTATCACATTCTTGAATCGAGTTTCCGTGAAAATCCTTGAGTAGCGCTTGAAAAGAGCAACGACATTTTTCTCTGAAAGGATACTCCTAAGGAAATCATAAGTGGGCATAATCCTGTTTGCCAAACTGATTGCCAGAAGATGTGGATTATAAGCCAGAGTTTTTGCAAGGTCCACCCTCGAAACCCCGAGAGAACTGAAAAACTCAAGCTTTGGCAAAAGGATTTTCTCCAGATTGGCGGAAAGAATCTGCGGACGTGACCTAACGACCTTTGATATCTGGGTTTGAGATAGTCCATGGTTTCTGACAAGGGCTAAAACAGAATCTGCCTTTTTTGGAGATTCCAGCTTCACCCTTTTGGATACTGAAATTGCACCTTCTGGGGACAACCCACATGTGTTTTTGAGGTAATTGACTTTGAAATCCTGGTGGGTTTCTGAGATTTCTGAGGTGAAGGGTCTGCAAAGCATCTGATTTGGAAGACAAAGTTTTGAGGGTTTTGGATCAGCAAGAACAAATCTTTTAGGTTTGGATGCAAATGCACAAGAAAATACTGAACCAACCAATCGGAGGGTCTTCAAATTGTAGAGTTGCATCATGTTGAAGGTTGACGATGAACAATTTCAGTTGGAGAAATTAAAACCTAGAATTTCGAAGGGATATAGACAAACCATAGGAGCTTGGATAAGTTTTCTTACTTCAGCAGACGGCAAATCTCCACCTCAGTACTGCTATCCATGGCGATAGGAAAATTTCTGCAGAAAAGGAACTCTTGATTCATTCTTCGTAGTTACAAATCAAGGCAAAGAAATTACAGCCCAAAGCAGAGATTTAAATTTCATGCTTCAAAAGGTCGAGGGTTTTAGTTTTTGGGGGAAAAGGGAAGAACCGCATTGGACCAATTTTTGATTTGCCGATATCGGACCCAAAAACCAATTTGAAATTCATTTCCCAAAAGAAAAAAACAAAAAAATTGAAATCCCCACCCTATCAAGTTTTAGCCGTTGGATTAATTAAATGGTAAACTTGGGTACATTTGGCTTAGGAGTTTTTATTTTATTTTAGCAAAAGTATGATATTTATTGATCTGATTGAATGCATATGTATAAAAATGGAGGATGAGATGCAAATAACTGAGCCTCAATAAAAACTTTACCTTGGAAGGCTTTAGAAAATTTTAAATTTAAAGAGAGTTAAGCAAAATAAAAATGAAATAGACGACAAAGGCGAAATGAATTAGAAACGTACTACAAGAGCATAACAAAGATGTGTAAGAGAGATAAGTAAATGATTAAGTTTCTCTTTCTGCACAATCTCGTTTTTTGTAGTTTTCAAATTGAATAACTAAAAGATATATTAAGGTATATTGAATAACAACTTACCCTTGTTCAATATTGAGGAGTTTTTCGGCATGAGTACATGCTGTCATGTCATACGTTCGTCCAAGACTCACGTAAGAGAGATCTTTGCATTTGGTCCCATCAAAATGGGTAAATGCCTAATGCAAGCGGTCAAGTAACGTGACACGAACGATCATACACAAGAATTTCTCCATATCGAGAGTATATTAAACTTTATGTCAAGATAAATATTTGATCCCATTCTCTTCCACGTGCTTGGCTAAGTATAGCCACAAGTGAGGGGAATATAATGCCTTGTATTGCAATTTATAGTATCTTTGGCCTCTCCACCTTATTGCCAATGTACCTTGCATTACCATGTGGTTAGAGACGTTGTGCTTCCACCCGCAGAGGCACCACGGTCCACACCAAAGAGAGCACAAATTTTATACACCATGAAAGAAATGGGAAGAAAATAACGACCAGAAAGGCTTCCTGCTAGTAAGCATTGTCATTTCCACTTCAAACGAAAAAACTTCGAGCATCAAAGTACGAAAACTTCGCAAGTATTGGTTTCGTCAAACAACATAGGTTGAAGATGGATCATTTTCGAATACTTTGTACGAATACTTGAGTTTTCTGCTGAACTGAAATCATTCATCTGTACTCTGTAGCATGCCAACAACTCAACTTCGCACCCACTTCTTCTCTTCGTCCTTTCAGCCCATCTGAAAGAATGTAATAAGAAATCAAAGAAACTGATTAATGTAGCAAAGGTTTTACCAGGATTTCTCAAAAGAAGAAAATTCGGAACAATGTTGATGGATTCACTGTCATAATATAATTGGTTGAAATTTTATTTTTAAGATTCCAACCAATTTTATTAGGGTAAATCTCAGTTTACTACTCTCAAGTTTCGTGATTTTCAACATTTGGTACATGAAGCTTTTTTCGTCTCATAGTCATACCTAAAGTGTTAATTTTAGAACAGTCATACATTCGTTAGTCTGGCTGTTAAGTTTCTCGTTAACTGATGACGTAGTGCCCATGTGGATAATAATTAGGCACCACGTGTCATTAAGGATCCACATAGAAATTAAAAATTCAAAAAAAAAAAAAAACCACCTGTGACATGCCCCAACCCCGATATCCCCAAATATCAGGGTATGCACATGTTGGCCGACACCCGAGGGTGACGAAGCCATTTTAAACACGCATATGACTAAAATAGGTAATTAAAACAGATTAAACCAAAGAAAAATCGTGTTCAGAGCATACAACTAAGGAAGAATAATGTGAAAGAACTACTATAGAAAGGTACGAACCAAGGAATGAGATTCACACAGAAGAGGCTCGAAGATGCCTAAGTGGGAATGTCTTGACACTAGGATCATGTGCCTCGAATCTAACTCCTGAGGGGGTGCGAAAACAGAAAATGTGAGTGGACCAAAGTTTATAACAATAATACTAGTAATACAAAAACTAGTTTATTTCAAAACATACTAACCCCCTATTTTGGAAACATATATGATACTATATAGTAGGTTTTATGAAAACCCTAGCATGATGTGAAAAACATTTATAAACATTTGTAAATCATATATGTGAAGTACTCAACTAGAGGTATCATAGTCGCACGAAGGCAATACTTGTCCATCACCCGTAGGTAAAGCTGAATCAAATAGCATAACATCCACACCGACACTAGCCGTGGCTAGTGAAGGTAGGAGTATATAATATATCATATCTCACTTCTCCATCATCTGTGTCCTATGACCATAGACATCTATACCTGTGGTGTGCGGATGTGCCGTATGATAACCCACTAGATAAGTACTAAAAACATGTCTCAAAATCTCGTATCAAAACCAGAGCTCACCAAACTCAAAGTGTCATCTCATGAATCCATAATATAAATCATAATCGAAAGCCAAAGAATTCATATATGTAAATCCATAATTCATCACCTTTAATGGAATGTAGTTCGATAAGTAATAACCTTCGTAAAAGTAATTTAAATCATTCTTAATTTTTCTTAAATCATAAATATAGAAATCTACGAAGGCATAATATAAATCAAATTCAAATCATGAAATAGGCCATGCATGCTAGGTAAATATTTATAAAAATGTATAGGTTAAGAAGGGGTCCACTTGCTTATGGAAAACACAATTGATCCCAATTTTCTCAATGTTTTAAGATAATAGAATATAGAAGCAAGGAAGAATCTGATCAAAATTTCAATCGGATCGAATTGAATTGATTTTGATTGACAAAATCAACAATGGAAGGAAAATATGTACTTTTTCCTCGCGTTTGCTTTCACGAGAATCGGGAGTGTGCAAAGCATAGACAAGGAGATCTCGGGTGTACCAAACTATGTCGGCGGGGGTTATGGGCTTGGACTTGAACAACCCCTTCATCTTGTTGTTGGTGGTGCTTTGGCTGTAACAGGGCAGTTTATCCTGCTAATGGTGGTTTTGTTGTTGATGCCGCTGCGGTGGTTACGGTGGTGGCTGAGGGAGCTGAGGCAGGCTATGGATCAGAGGAGATGAGGGAAGGTAGTGCGGGTTGTAGGGAAGAGAAAGAAGGGTACGGATTGCAGAGGAGAGGATGGAGGGTTCGGGGAGGTAGAAGATGGGTGGGTTTTTTTTTTTTTGAATTTTAAATTTCCACCTGCACCCCTTTAATGACACGTGGTGACCAATCATTGTCCACATGGGTGTCACGTCATTAGTTAACGAGAGACTTAACAGACAGACTAACGGATGTATGAGACTATCCCAAAATTAACATTTTAGATATGACTCTGAGACAAAAAAAACTTCATGTACCAAATGTTGAAAACCATGAGACTTGAAGGTAGTAAACTAATATTTACCCATTTTATTATTATACTTGACTTGATGTGCAGTGTTATCCGCACACTAAAAAATCTCTGGTGCTTAAGGTGGATAGTTAGTATTATAGGGTTTAGCTTAGCAAACCGCCGGATATACTATTTAGTACGAATCAAGTGTTGGTGTTATCTAATTAAATAAGAATTGAAGAAACTAATCTGCTCCTACCTATTTTATGCCGCTCAACAAGTAATTAAAAATTTAAATAGTCCGACCTCTTCATCTGATATAGCACCAAGTGTTTGATAATATAGTCACTATGCCGATTAATTAGTCAGTACTATCAGATTTACAAATTAGTATGTCCGACTGAAACAATCAATACTGCCCGACGTCCCAAACGAGGCTCGTAGATGTATAGTACGTTAAAAATATGGACGTATATTGTCACTTAGCACCACCAGTTTAGTGGTATTTATTTTTACTTGTGAGAGGTCTTAAATTTGCCTCTAGTGGAAGATGATTTCCATACCATTTTATTATGACCGGCATATTGTATCGCTTCTCTCAAGTACCCACCCCCTTGATGTAAATATATTATTATGAAAAAAATATGGACGTGAATTATTCGGCCCTATGTCTTGAAAAATACATCGAAAATTTTAGCTATAAAGTACAAAAATACAAAATTCAGGCATCTAATATGTACACGTAATAATATGATTTCATACATCTAGTTTCTTCTTACGCACACCCATGTTTACTTTTTGTCTTAATTCTCCTTTGATTTATTCAATCTAATAACCAACAATATATGTAGACCTTAGCTTAGCCAAGTTGGCTGGAATAGTCTGCTTTTCCCGTAGTTTAAATTAATTCACTGTCAACAATCGCTTGTATAGAAAATGTAGTCACCACCTTCACCCCCGATCAAACCCTCATCACCACCATGATTGTTCAAGAAAAAGGTATAAATGCAAGTCAATATACCGCTGCAAAACTAATTATTAATAACATTATCAACAGTATTACATCAAAAATTACTAGACACTGTTACACTGCTTCCCTCCTTATGCGTTTACCTTTGTTGCTTATTTGTTGGCATGCTACTTGTTTGGATAGTTGGTTCCACACATATTGCAGAAACCAACTGCCTTAGCTGAGCTAAAATTAAGTACAAATACAGAAGGTACACAGTCCAGACTCCAGACGTGCGCAGATACCCGGCAATCCCTTTTCCGGCTGTTACAACGCTCTCCGTGTTGATAGCTTTAGGTAAAAGGATCAGGGTAGTTTTTAATGTAAACTGGGAATTGTTGTTAGTAGGAAGTCTCTTTCCAATCTCTTGAGATCAGAAAATCTCCATAGGCCTTATAAATAGATTCACCCGAAATATTAAAATTCCCAAAGCACAATCCATTACATCCCCACCAGAACTGGGTTTTTTGCCACCTGAACTCTGAAGATCCCAGTTCTACAAGCATTGCAGATATCGCGTCGTCATTAAGAATAACAGGAGAAAATGATTACAAAGCAGCCGTACACTTTGTCAGGAGTTCCTATTAGTAACAGAGCATGGGATAAAGGAGTGACAGCCGTTCTATCATATAATTTGGGAAGTGAACAAAAATTAGTTTCTCCACTCCTCACTCAAAACAGACAGCATTGAACCCTATTAAAAGCAAGATATGTGCACATTCTACACAATCAACTTTCAAGGCTAACCAAAATCAGGGACAAAAAACAGAAAGAGATTGATGACACTACGAAGAAGGCATGTATAAAATCTAAATCAAAACAGCGAGGCCAAAATGAATTTATTTCCAGCAAAATTTTAGTAAGATGTTGAATACAAATTAAACCTTACTTGAAGGAAAATTCCGCGTACCATGATCATGCATCCTGGATATCCACCTTTCCTTGATACACACTCAACAATCGAGGTACTTTGCCAAGATATCTGTTCACAAACATCTCCAAGAACTGCTTATCCGTAGGTTTCAGCACCGAACCCAAATTCAAGTTGTCATCAATCCAACCTTTCAACAACAAAACTTTAACTACCGAACACCTCGGGATAAGTCTCCTCTCCAAACTCAAACTGAGGACCACCGGGTATTTGGCAATCATTTCTGAGGACCATCCCATCTTGTTCACTAAAAGATCCATTGCTCGCATTAGCTTCTGCTCAGACACAATCATACACTGCGGATTCTTCTTGACCGCAGAGAGAATATCATCATCAGACCAACCCCAACTTTTCAAAGCTTCGCGACTTCTATTCCATACCAACTTATTCTTACCACACAGTGCACGCAGTGCATTCACTGAAGTCGTTTTTTCCAGATTGAATCCCATTTCCTTAACCTCAGCCACAAGCTGACCAAGTTGTTCTGGACGCACCATCAAAACGGGAGTGCAATATGTTAGCACTAAGGAGATACCTCGTGGCCTCATACCTGATTCTCTCAAAAGCTCAATATTTGGTATCACATTCTTGAATTGACTCTCCATGAAAATCCGCGAGTAGCGCTTGAAAAGAGCAACAACATTTTTCTCTGAAAGGATACTCCTAAGGAAATCATAAGTGGGCACAATCCTGTTTGCCAAACTGATTACCAGAAGATGTGGATTATAAGCCAGAGTTTTTGCAAGGTCCACCCTCGAAACCCCGAGAGAACTGAAAAACTCAAGCTTTGGCAAAAGGGTTTTCTCCGGATCGGCGGAAAGAATCTTCGGACGTGCCCTAACGACCTTTGATATCTGGGTTTGAGATAATCCATGGTTTCTGAAAAGGGCCAAAACAGATTCTGCCTTTTTTGGAGATTCCAGCGTCACCCTTTTGGATACTGAAATTGCACCTTCTGGGGACAACCCACATGTGTTTATGAGGTAATTGACTTTGAAATCCTGGTGGGTTTCTGAGATTTCTGAGGTGATGGGTCTGCAAAGCAACTGATTTGGAAGACAAAGTTTTGAGGGTTTTGGATCAGCAAGAACAAATCTTTTAGGTTTGGATGCAAATGCACAAGAAAATAGAGAATTAACTAATCGGAGGGTCTTCAAATTGTGGAGTAGAATCATGTTGAATGTTGACGATGAACAATTCCAATTGGAGAAATTAAAACCCTAGAATTTCGAAAGGATATAGATAAACCATATGAGCTTGGATAAGTTTTCTTACTATCTTTTCAGCAGACGGCAAATCTCCACACCTCAGTACTGCTATCCATGGCGACAGAATTTTTTTTGCAGAAAAGGAACTCTTTATTCCTTCTTTATAGTTACAAATCAAGGCAAAGAAACTGCCCAATGCAAAGAATTGAATTTCATGCTTCAAAAGATCAAGGGTTTTAGTTTTTGGGGGAAAAGGGCAGAAGCGCATTAGACCAATTCCCGATTGGTCGATATTGGACCCAAAAGCAAATTTGAAATCCATTTACCAAAAAAAATTTAAAAATATATATCAAAATTTGGAATCCCTACTCTCCGAAGTTGGATTAATTAAAAGAAAAACGAATGAAAAAAAATTGAAATTTTTGAGTTTTAACCAAAATGATAAAAAAATATTGTAAGTGAATAGTATCAAGAATGATTTTTTAGAGTAAAAATATTCTTAACGTTAAAAGTGAACGTACCAAGAGTGTTTCGTTAAAACTCTCATAATTAAATAGTAAACTTGGGTACATTTGGCCGAGGAATTTTCAAACTTAAAAGGATTTAAGCAAAATAAAAATGAAATAGAGGACAAAAATTCAGGTGAAATTGATTATAAATTGCGCTATATGAGCATAACAAAAGTACGTAAGAGAGACAAGTAACTGGCTCATTTCAAGTAATCAATTGTGAATCTCTCTCATGCTTTGTAATATTCATGTGACGCATTTCTAATTTCTCTTTTTAATTTTTGTGTATTCAATTTTCCTCACTTCACCTAAATTCCTTGGAATTCAAAAAGTTCCTCACCCAAATATACCGATGGATAATTTATGTTTCTCTTTCTACACAATCTTGATTCTTGTAGTTTTGAATAACATCTTACTCTTGTCGAATATTGTGGAGGAATTTTTAGACATGAGTATATGTTGTCATGTCATATGTTCATCAAAAACTCACATAAGAGAGATCTTTACATTTGGTTCCATCAAAATGGGTAAGTGCATAATACAAGCAGTCAAGTAACATGACATGAACGATCATACACAACAATTTCTCCATAACGATAATATATTAAGCTTTATGTCAAGATACATAATTGGTCCAATTTTCTTCCACGTGCTTGGCTAGGTCTAGCCTCAAGTGAGGGGAATATAACGCTTTGTATTGCAATTTATAGTATCTTTAGCCTCTCTACCTTATTACCAATGTACCTTGCATTACCATGAGGTTAGAGACGTTGTGCTTCCACCCGCAGAGACATCACGGTCCACACCAAAGAGAGCACAAATTTTATACATCATGAAAGAAATGGGAAGAAAATAATGACCAGAAAGGCTTCCTGTTAGTAAGCATTGTCACTTCCACCTCAGACGAAAAACTTCGAACATCAAGGTACGAAAGCTTCGCAAGTATTGGTTTCGTCAAACAACATAGGTTGAAGATGGATCATATTCGAATACTTCGTACGAATGCTCGAGTTTTCTGCTGAAATCATTCATCTGTACTCTGTAGCATGCTAACAACTCAACTTCGTACCCACTTCTTCTCGTCGTCCTTTCAGCCCATCTGAAAGAATGCAGTAAGAAATCAAAGAAACTGATTAATGTAGCTCAGGTTTTACGAGGATTTCTCAAAAGATGAATATTCGGTACAATGTTGATGGATTCATTGTTACCTGAGTCACATTCAACTTATGACATGGATGAGCAACTTAAAGCTTCCTCGTTCCTAAAATCCAACTCTCGTTGCTTTTGAGTTTCAACAGCAGAAGCTGCTAAATTCTGCAGAATGTGCTTTAGTGGCTTCTTAAAGACCAAGTGCTTGCTCGAATGTGCATAATCGAAGATCAAAGTTTTCACACATGTACTCGATTTTGAGAAAAGGATATATCTTCTCATCAAATTCTGCGCCCTCATCATCGTCATTACGAGAGATGATATAGAGATGCTGCATAATATGTATCAATATTATGAGTTGGGATGGCCACCCTCTCCAGCTATTCATTCGCAGTTATAACACTGTATCATAAACGAAAGAGAACTTTCTGTACTTAAGAACATATACCTATGGAACTGTTGAAAGAGTTGTTTACATCAATTTCTTACTCAGGCCTATTGGTAGTACAGTCAGGGAAGAGACTTTAGAATCAAACCACCTGCGAAAGGTTTGCAATGAACTTGCAACTTTACCCTCGAGACTTTTAAATTATCGAATATAGTTTTTCTTTTTTACTGGTTTGCACTGGCAGACTAGTGAATCTCGGGCCTGCAGGACTATAGATGAAGATCATGATCTGTTCTTGCTACGACGAATCACATCCCAAAATAATTTAAAGGTAGAAGAAACAAAATACAAAAATAGTTCATCCAATTGTAAAGGCATCATCAACTATCCGTCATCTCCTGTACGTTTGTCATTCAAAGTTGAAATCCCAGAGACAACCTCACCTGGGAAGAGTAACAAATTTTTATACAGAACGAATCACGTCATGTCCACTGTAATTACACACCCCTTTTGGTTTACTTTATCATTTACAATTCCAAAAGGCTTCTAGTAACTCTGGTTTACAACTTTAATCCCTAACCAGAACATATCATATATCTGTGACTATAAATTAAAAGAGATTACGACACTGGGGAATAATGCAGTAACAATATGCCGAAGCGTGCTCCCCATGGCAGCCACTTTTCAAGCGCAAATGACCATGTAACCGATGCTTCTGCTAGTTTTCAAAGCATTGTCATTTCCGCTACAGACCGATGACTATACAGGGATGACTGCCAAGCTTCGAGTTAAAATTTAGTGGTCAAACTACACCATCATGTGTCTTCTACAAAAACTCTGAAGATGAAAGCACGAAAGCGTCTTGAGTATTGCTTCGGATCAACAGCAGAGATTGAGGTCGGGTCATATTGGAATGATTTGTATGCATGCTCGAGCTTTTTGCTGATATCATAGTCCTGTAGTATGTCAATTATACCAAAAAACAGAATGACATCGTACAACTCTCCGGTTGGGTCTCCAACCAACTGAGCCTCACAATCATTTCTTCTCACTGTCCTTTCAGCCCATGCTGGCATATTAATACCTAACCTAATAGAAGACCACCTGAAACAATGCAATCTCGAAATCAAATAATGATAATTACCGGGGAGCTCTTTGAAGGATGATTATTTTGGCACAACGTTAATGGATTCATTTCTACCTGTTCGGGTCAGAAAGAAGCCGTTCCATGTCAACTTTAGAAAGGCGTGGGGTACCATTGTCAGGGTCGCTATTTCCTGCAAGGTCGGAACATAATTCATGCATTGAGAAAGGCTTTCCTTTGAATTATGAGATGTATGAATAATTTAAGAAAGGTCTAGAAATAACCAGTTGGAGTACGAGCTCCAGAGGTTCGGTCTGGAGTTTTGGGTTTTTCTGTGCATGAAGCTTCTCGGAAGTGAAGACCAATCAAGAGACTGTAGTCCATTATTCTTTCCTGTTCAAGAAAGTCGCAATCTCTGTCCACTTGCCTGCATTGAGGTACACTTCAACTCACAAAGAGAAACTAAAGTAACACAATACTGCTGAAATATTCCATATATAACTTCTAATGTACCGAAACATTCTCATGTATGCACATATCAATCAAGTGTAATCCATTTCTTTTTTCCGAAAAGCATACGCTCCACCAACTCAACCAACCATTTCTTATTCCTAAAATCAGGCATTAGTTACTTTTGAGTTTTGATAATAACCGAAACTTCAGAAGAGTTCTAAAGTTCCAGCTTTAGCAGCTCCACCAAGAAACTAATATTCAATATCCATGATTGTAGATGATAGCATGGGTAAGTATAATCCACATTTGTACCAATTTGACCGACGAACTATTTTTCTCTCATTAAGTTCCTCCCATTAAGCAGTCACTATGAGAAAATTGACATCGGAGTTATATTACATCAATCTAATGACTAATGATGACCACTCTCCCTAGCTATTCTCACAAAACATAACACAAGATTATGAATGAAAGTGAGCGTTCTCATAATCTTTGATATCCTAAACTAAAAGGGTGACAGACAGATGGATAGACAGAGAGATAAAAATATACCTGCAGAACTCTTGAAACCAAACCTTCTGCAACCTAAATATATAATTAAGATCGAGATCTTTAAGAGTTGTTGTAGCATCAATTTCCGACTCAGGTTTATCAGTTGTGCGGCCATGGGAAGAGCCTTTTAAATCAAACCGCCTGTGAATTGCAAACTCGGAGCAAAATAGATTCCCCATAATGACAAATCTCACCTGGAAAATGGAAATTTATAAAGTTCATTATTATTTTTTTTTTTTTGCCAAGTATAAAGTTCATTATTTCAGAAGTTCAGAAATTCTAAGGGTTCACTGGCCAACAACATTACCTTCTTTTGGGCAGTTCCCGTTAACTTTACACAATGAAGGCCGTAAAATTTGGTGACCAGAGTATTCTCAAAGGATCTAACATGATTATAGTAAGCTCGAAGCATTCTTAGAAGCACCTGTGATGCCCAAGTTGAGATTAGCACATTATTTAGTGCAGAGAATAAATGGATTAAATCAGAATTCAGTCACAGTATTAATTTGGATAGATGTCATGATTATTAAAAATAGTAGCGGTCGCAATATAATGGACTCAATGTAATCTGAGGAGAGCAGTGAGACTACATATCTACATCCAAACGGAGCAGGAAGCAGGAAGGAAAGGGGAAAAGAAAAGAAGATAAAACTTACTTTTACTTCTGCCTTCTTCATTGTCTTTATCATGTACCGGTCATCATTTGTCAAATAAAAGAAGCTTCCACTCTTTCCAGGGGATGAGAGCTCTCGAAGAGCGTCATTTCCACATATTGATATCATGTAATCTGCTGGATCTACCTTGAACAATTTCCTGAGAGTCCTGAGAGATAAATAGAACAATTCAGTTACCCATGTATGTTTCCATCACAAAGTAACCAAGAGTTTTGAATGTAAAATAAGGAAATGTTTGTATCATACAAGAAGAGCGAGGCAGATTCAGTGACTCTGATTCTAAAAGGTATAGGAGACTATGAGTTAAATATCAAACTCTTCCAAAGACAGCTGTTCGTTATTGTACGAAACAAAATCCAACAATTGCTTTACCACACAACTAACCAAAAGAAACTTTTGTAGGTCTTACCGGAAAACCACAGGACAGTAATCCTTCCATTTGAAGTCGCATGACTGGTGGGGTGGAGTATACTTGGATCCTTCTGGGGGAAATTTTGTCCATACTTTCTCCTTGGGATCGAATGCTGAACTCTTCAGGTCAAGAGATGTAGTTGGAGCAGGCCTTCCAACAGAATGCCTGTGCTATAAGAAATCAGTTACATGGAAGAAAGATTTCTATAATAATTTCAAATTTCAAGAGTAACACTATAACATAATCTACTGTTTGTCTTGTTTCTCTTTTCTGCCACTCTGGTCTCACAATCTTATAAGTAGACCAAATGATTTAAGCAGTTAGTAAAATAAAACTATTTTCCCCATTTTCGGAGAAATGCTCCAAGATCCTTTTAGAACAGTAAAGCGAACCACATATCATGAAACATGAACCTGCATGGGGAAGAATGAATCTTTCCATAGAATAATGATTGATGCGAAGCAACCAAATGATTCAAAAACACATCTGATGCATCTACTTCTGAACGATATAAAGAAATATTCTGTCATTCATGCATTGATTCCAATGTACTTGAATTTACAGCACAGGCTTCTCCGGCAACTCATTTTATCTCATTACTTGCGGGAGAAAAGATTAAGAATCAAAAGCACAGGAAGAACATAAAGTGTACCAAGACAGACAAAAAGCAAAAAGACGAGACAAAACAAAAACAGGTGCGAATGAGGAGCAGAAAACAACAAATCATGTATACCTGATTCCCAACTGCAGATTAAGCATAAGCTCATAGTTCTTATGCCCTTTAGCTATTGTCACCCCTTGTTTCTTCATTGGCTGAACTTTGAAATGCTGATGTCTAATCCCTTTCGCAACCGAACCTTCCAACTCAAATCCTGCACTTCCCTCTCTTGAGCTCCTATCAACTCCATCAAACATGCAATCTCCATTAGATGACCTACTATAATTACTCACCCTCGCATCGGAAGTTCTCCTAGGCCTCACATTCCCTTCGTTCCCGTTTTTATAAATAGGCTGCTTGTTCAAGAACTCCCCTTCAAATCCAGGCCAACTCATCGTCTTCTGTGAAGGGTATATCGGAATAGTTTCCTGCGGGCACACCTTGCAATCATTCAAGTCCACTGCAAACACCTCCTGAGGATCCCAATCCACATTACCACCCGAGGACCCTGCTGGGTAGTAAGTCCCATTCTGCTCTTTCGAATCCTTACTCCAAACTCCCACATAGAAGCTCCCATCAGCCCACCGAAACGTGCCATTTCCTTTAGGCAAACCTTCTTCCCAAGACCCGTCATACCGATTCCCATTGCTCCAAATCATGATCCCATTCCCATGAATCATTCCATGCTTCCATTGGCCGATATAATGGCTCCCATTTTTCCATTGATACCGCCCCTGCCCGTCCTGCAACCCGCGGCGCCATTCACCCTCGTAATAATCCCCATTGACAAAGCTCTTAGCCCCCTGACCATATTTCAAATTCATAACCCACGATCCTCTATAGGTATCTCCACAAGAACCCATGTAAGTTCCTTTGCCATCCATATATCCGTTCTTGAATTCCCCTTCATAAGTGGCACCAGAAGGCCAACTAAATTTTCCTCTACCCGACGTCCTACCCTTCTGCCATTCGCCAAGGTACATACACCCATCGGTCCACAGGTACTTCCCTTGGCCGTGCGCGTAGTTGTCGACCCACTGGCCGGTGTAGAAGTCACCATTGGCGAGGACCTTCTCGTCCTGATAGATTTCACCAGGCTCATGATCTGCAGGGGCTACGGACATTGTTGTGAATAAAGGGTTGGCCCTTTTCTTTCCACCAGTGTGTGTTTTGCGCAGAGTTGCTTCCCAGGCCTTTAAAATGAATCTGAACTCTTTGCTCATTATCTCGCTGAAACCTCCCTCTGCTTAGCTACCTCTCTCTTCACCTTCCTCACATTCCTCTTGGCTCAGGCTCACCAATCCCCAGATCAAAAACCCCTCTCACTCCTCTCTCGCTCTCTCTCTCTCTATACAGACAATGTATGTGCTTCAGAAGCAGGGGAAAGCAACCATTTCTGGAACAAACCCAGAAGAGTAAACAATGGAGGAAATCAAAATACAGAACAACAAACAAAAAAACCAAAAAACCAAATCTGGGTTTTGTTTTTTGTGGGTTTTTGTGCAGTGGGTAATTCAGAATTTGGAAAAATAAAAATTAAAAACCCCGGAAAAAGAAAATCAAACTATTTGATTGATGGGAAAGCAAAAAGGTTTGGTTGGTTCCAACGACTGGCTTTTTCTCTGTTTCTGGTGCTTTTTTCTTTTTCCTTTTTTCTCCTCGTTTTCTTTTCTTGCTTGGTTGAGTTTGAACAAGGGATTCAACACTCTGGTTTTTGATTCCGGATTTGGCTCCGAGAACCGCTACCGGACCAAACAGTTGGACGAAGAAAGTAAGCAATGATGGTGGAAAAATGTCTGCCATTTTTAGTGTCTCGATCGGACTAACCACAAATACCCCCTACTAATTTTAGTTTTTGTTTTACTTTTTTTTTTTTCAAATTTACCACGTTATTTTGTTCTTTTTTAGCTTTTACCTCCATTGGGTTTACAGCTGCTTTTGCAATGGTACCCTTCCTTTTTCATGTAATTATTTTTTTGTCACAATTCTAGAAACCGAACTTTCTGTTTAATGTCAATTATTTCTTACCCCACATGATTACCTTAAGACCAAACGTCAAATATCGATTCCAACCATAACTTGACCTTGCATTTTACCACAACTAATTTGTTTAGATTTTAAAGTCTCACAGTTTCATTGTGTTTTGTTTACCTAAGCGCCTATCTATTGGACGTTGTTGGAATCAATCTAATGACGGCTAGTAGATAGACAATCATTGGTGCCTATTCTTGGATGTTCGAATGATCGCATTTGTAGCTGAGCGACTTATCTATACGTGTAGCTCGTTGTCATAGAAAACCAAGGTAATTCAATTTGTAAGTTAATTACAAACAAAATGAAATTAACAATTTTCATTTATAAAATGTTTTTTAAATGGTCTTAATTATATGGAGAATAATTAATATGATACGAGTATATTGTTATCTCCACCTATCATGTTACTAATAAGATATCATATATAACATTTTATTCACATAATAATATGTAACTGATATAAAATATTATAATAACCGTATAATCGTATCATGTAAATTTCTCAAAACGGACTTTGAATTAATAAACCTCATAACGTTTCTCACGGTTCCCGTCGTGCAGGCTGCTTTCTCTTTCAGAGACATGAGGCGAGGGAGAGGAGGTCAAAAGCTTGACCCATAAATCCATGAACCCAAATGAAAAGATCATGCCTGGTGGGTTTAAAGGTGACACTTGTCCTTTATTTAGATGATTAGTAAATGATGATGTTGATGGATCACACAAAGGCAAAGGCAAAGCAAATCTCTTATTCTCTAATATTATATTATATTCTTTTCTATTCTTCTAGAACAACATTCTATATTTCGATGTGCATGCATATCTTCCTTTCTTTTTATTCCTTCTCAATTAAGTATTCTCTCCTCCTTGCATGTTCAATAATAATTTAAGTGTTGCTCGACCCAGTGTCTTTTTTTTTTACTCATATTATAATTTCACCAACTTAAAAAATTAATAGTTCGTTTGAAAGTTCTTTTAAAATGATTGAAAGTGTTTTTAATGAAATTGATTTTGAGTTTCAAAAATACTTTAAGTACTTTTGAAAGAAGCACCAGATATGTGATTTTTGTAAGAAGAACATAAAATGGTTTTTTAGGATCCACTTATATTTTTACTAAGGATTGGTTTTAAAAATATTTTCACTAAAAATGTTTTCAATCATTTTAAAAGTACTCACAAACGAGCCATAACATGTTTTTTCCCATCCATTATTACTCCCAAAATAACTCTAATATCTTCTATATATATAAAGGGTGCACACCAAAATGGTGAAGCTTTTAATATCCCCAAAATACCCCTCACTAATAATAAGGATTCTAAAATAAAACAATTTAATTTAAAAGAAAAAATTCAAACTAAAAAAATTACAAATAAATAAGAAACAATAAGATGTAAAAGAGCAAATTGCCACATACAAATTGCAGATACAAATGTCTTTCATTAGGAGAGGAACTGAATTCGTTGTTGGTTGTTGTGAATCGTATGGCAATGTCACATACGATGTGTTAAGAATCATCCTTAATGGAACACCCTAATCAACCTCATGATGTTGTCAATTCAGTTGGGAATCGAATGAACATATGTTGATGATGACAATGTGATATGTGAATGAATTCAATTCTAATATAAATGATATAAAAACAAAAAAAAAAAATTTTTTTTTTTTAAAAAACGCAAGAGCCGTAGAACATACCAACCCAAAAATATGAAAACCTCATCAAATCTTTGCGACTTAATACTACTGTCTAGTGATATTTCTCTTCAGTTGTAAAATGAGAGGTCTTAGATTTGATTCTCTCCAAAGGTGAATTTGAACCATATTATTGTTAGCCCATTGTGAGGCTAAACCCCACCCCCTCCCTCTTAAGACAGATAATATTGCTTGTTAAAAAAAAAAAACCTACTATACATCTTTAAAATAAAGGAAAACTAACGAAAAGTCCAAAAAAAAACTCTCACAATTCTGATCGCATAAAATCCACATCAATATCTCTCTGTTACTTGCATGAATTCACCTTCTCAATTGTTCATGGAATGTCTCTCTGAGTAATCATGTTTGTGTGTTTTGTATTGGGCTAGTGATGATTACCTAAGGAAGTCATGCACCACTCTCATGATTTTAATCAGTCTGCTGATAAATTCTTTATACCCAAATTCTTATGAATCTTCGTCTTTAAATCTAAAGATGGAAAGTTGGGATTGTATTGCCATCGTCCAAATGGAATGCGATCTGAACTTTGGACCATTAGTTTGAGAAGATAGAAGAGAAAGAGGGGGAGGGTTGGCCGGCAGTGAAAGAGAATTAAGTTGCCGCTGGTGAGCTGGGTTGTTGAAAGGGGTGGCAGTCAGGATTCTTTTGTTACGTCTTGGTTTTTCTTTTTCTGTGTTGTAATTTCATTTAATGTTTTTATTATTATTTTTATGTAGATCTTTGAAAGTTATTTTGCAAGAGGTAAATTAGGTAATAAATTTTATAACTTAAAGTGAGTGAGAAAATAAGACAAAAGGGTAGAAATAGCAGCATCCTAATTTAAGTTACACATCATTTTTTTTGTTTTGTTTTGTTTCCACTTCTTATTTAACTCTGCTGGAAGGATGACAACATAAAGCTCCGCATAGATAGAAATATGATGCCCCAAAATTTGAGAGAATCCACCGAGAAAATAACCCATAAAATCTCAAAAGACCGCATCACAAGACGTAGGACCTGGGTTACCCTTAACAAGCTCATTTCTATTCACTTTAACCCAATTACATGGAGGAGGATGCCAAAGAATTGAGACAATAGAAAGAGCATTACATAACTCGACCGAAATCCCAAGAGATACTAAAAAGTTGTGTCACGCCCCGATCCCGACATACATCCAAGATCGACACGTGACGTCACTAAATGCCCGTAACTCAACATACCCTACCTTTATCATATTTACCAAGTATAATTCAAGATCCAGATGCATGATAATTTTTCGTACACTTTATGGCTGCATCTAACCTCATCGTTAGACTGCCTACATACTCTCATTAGGGATCAAGTCATTCGTAGTTCGTCTTCTTCACTATAACTCGACATAAATTACAGTCCGTTTAAACCGAAAGGCATAACATTTCTCAGTCAATCAGTAGAACTTGACAAGCATGAAATTACTAGACTCAAGGTAACATAACAAACCCACCCGAAAATCATGATTTTCCTTCCATCTTTTATATAATTCATTATATCGCAACATGATACTGCAATTCACAACATATATCATATCAAGAACCGACGAAGCACAATACCATTCTCTAGCCACATTAATTAAGTCATTTGACCAAAATCCTGAAGGAGTCACCCAGATAAAATTCATACTTATGAAATCATAATCGAATCAGATAAAATCCTGAAGGAGTCACCCAGACGTCCAACAGCTTTTCTAATTCAATTCACAAGATTCTCGAAACCCTTGCTCACAATTATATTAAAACTAAGGCTAGAGTGACACAGTTAAGCCAAGCCTACATTTCTAAAGCTGATATCAAATCCAAGAAACCAACAAGTCAAGTGATACGATTTCGGATCATCACTCAACGGAATCCAAACAGGGATACGATTCTGGACCATCACTCAACGGAATCGCGGAGTAGAAGGGATTTCGGACTATCACTCAACGGAATCCAAATAAGGATACGATTATGGACCATCACTCAACGGAATCTAAACAAGGATACGATTCCGGACCATCACTCAACGGAATCCATATGGATATGGTACCTATCGAATGTACCAGGTATATTTAAACCTCATCATCTCTATAATTACAACATAGTCACCTACCATATCCACTTCTCATGGCCACCAACTAATATGTTATACAAGCATATAAGTGCTACAACATACTTCTAATAGGATTCTAGGATCACATTGTCATAAAAGTAATCAAACACAACATACTAATCATACAAAACAACCCATATTCCCAATATGCACGTCAATTCCCACATCATAAAACTACAACGATGGCTAAATATAAAAATTAAACATTTTATAGGAAACATAATCATAAACCATCTCATATCCACTCAGGACAATAATTATGAAAACAGGGAAATCACCTATATCACATATATTAAAGTCACTCACATTTTATCATATCATACCATCTATGCAAATCAACCACCCTACAAATATGCAAGTCAAATCACATATCACAATCATCAACAGTACACGAGCCAAATCATGTTTAATAAAAATTGGTCTATGACTAAATATATAAAATCACATTTCAATAGAAATCATATTTATAAGACCAATTCATATTCACAAATGATACTAATATAAGAAATTAAGATAATAATCATATTTCATATATTCAAGTCTCTATTGTAGGCCCACTAGACTTCAAGTAATTAGGATGTTTCGAGACATGTTGATCAAAAGTCAACTTTCGATCAAAGGTAGGGTCCATAATTCTACACAGTTCAATCCGGAAGATCCACATTTTGGATTTTGGATCCGTAACTTTCCAAAGTCCACATTATGCTCAAATAACAATATATTAAAATCTCAACACGATCCGACGGTTGGATCTCCGCCAATTTCAAAATTCAAGTGGCGGTCGACATTTAATTTTACAAACTTAGAAATCCAATTAGGGAAGATCCGTACGTCGGATTCTCGATCCGTAAGTTTCTATGATCCACAAATATTATGTTCTATCACGCAGTAAGGTTTTCGACGATCCAACGGTCGGATCATCGAATCATATTTTTGACCTAACCACGTATCGTAATGAAATTAGGTTCAAACAATCAAACCACATCATAATGATATCAATTATTAAATCAGGGCATTTAATTGAACTTAAAAAGACATCGTTGGCCCATTGGCCAGGTCACCGCCACACGGGCCGCCGCGGGTGGCGGTTGGCCGCCCCGATTTGCCGGAAAATTCAATTATTTTTAAAAATTACCAACAATTACAGAAATGAAGATCTCAAAGAGTAGAGAAAACTTTATACCTGTGGCCAAGTTCAATTTGGCCGGGAAACACTTCGATTTCACTTAAACTTGCCGAAACCCTAGAAAAGAGTGTGCTTTGATTCGACTTCCAATCGAACTACGATGCCTCCAACACTGCTTGGGCTTTATTCCTGGGGTTGAGGGAAGTCTTTTGGTGGTGGTCATGGAGGGTGAAACTTGTCGGAGCCACCGAAAAAAGGGATAAAGCCGCCAGAACACCCGTGGGTTTGTGGCTTTGAACTGGAAAAATGGGAACGAAATTGGAAAATTTAACACTACAAAGATGTAGGGCTCATCAAGGGCTTTCCATGGACACCAAGATCACCCAAAACGAAGTTCGGATGAAGGAGATATGGCCAGGTCAAAAATGGAGGTTCGCGGGTCAAAAACGACCCAACTCGGGTCTTCTCCTTTCCCCTCCTTGGTCTGTTTTCTGATTGGTTGCTCCTCTTTTCCTCCCTCTCCTTCCCGTTGGCCAAGCCTCCCTCCTTTCTCTCCCCAAATTCCTCTTCATTTCCTTTTTTTTTCTTCTCTATTTCCCCCTTTTCTCAGCCACCCCCACGTGGCTTTTTCTTTAATCTTTTTTTTTCTCCTTAATTAATTAAGGGCAACTTTTGAATTGTAGATTTTTCACCATGATATCTTTTGAATACACAATCTCAACACTCTACAATTAATAGAAATCCCAAAATGAATATAATAACTCCTTAATACACATACGTAGTTTGCAATAGTGAAATTCAGGGACGGGATTTCACAAGTTGCTTATCCAAAACTTTGCAAACATGACCAGGAGATAAGGCTCCAAACTGCCTAATCCAAGCCAAAGTAGAATGATAAATACGTAAAAAGGAAGGGGCTTGCTTTTTAAACTTCACTTTACTTCGCGTCTTCCAAATAGCCATTAGCAGCTGCAACCAGCCAAACATTTAAGAGTTGTGGAGGAAACCGCTTCAACATAAAAGAGAGCCAAACTTTGGAAAATGAACCAGTAACTGGAAGAGCATTGCCAAATTGAGGAGCAAACCAAAGCCACTCGTTGTGCAAACTCACAACTAAAATTTGTGATCAATGGGTTTAGAGTTACAGTAACATAATTAGGATATTGGTACCAAAGTAGTACCCATGTCCTTGTAATTGATCCTCTATTGGAAGCTTATTGAAAAATGTCATCCAAACCAAAATAGAGTAGCGGTGTGGGATGAATGGACGCCAACTAGTGGAAACCCAACTTTGAACAAGACATCAGTGACAAACAGTTTCATAGCCATCAGGAAAAGAAAAAAAAAAGAGTAAAAGTCTAAGAAGAAGAAGAAGTTTCCCAAATAAACAAATCATTTTACTCAATAGGAAGAGACACTTCTAAAATCTCTTTAGCCAACTCTAGAAACTTAGAAGAAAAAATAGAAGGAATTAATAATTTGTTTCCCCATGCTAATAATATTTGGGACCTTAGCACGACATTGAATAGGAGCAAGCTCAATAGCACCAACAACCTCTAAAATAAGATCCCATCATTTCATATTTAAACAATATAAAATATAAATATTGGTTCAATTCGACTTTGTCATCAATTCAAGAATCAATTCTAGTCACTAAAAAGGTTGCTTTGGCACTAAATTGAATCGAAATTTGTTGGTATTTAATTATCGATACTTGGACTTTCTTAAGTCAGTCGGTTCGATGACTTTAGTTGAAAAATCTCGTCGTTCACTAAAACTAGTCAATAGTGTTGCCAAAAAGCACTTATTTAAGGTCATCTCCAACTGAAAAGGTCCAGAAGGCCAAAGGGCCGAAAAACGTCTGAAACTGTCTCCAACCGAGGGATATGCCAGATGGCTCGTGGGCCCTACAGAATCTGAAAGGGCCAAAGGGCTGGCCCAATCCAGCCAGCCCCAGGTTGGCCAAAAATGTGAGCATTCCTGTCAGATATAATCGATAGGAATGCTAAGCCAATTTTTCAAATGCAACGGCTAGCTGACGTCAGCTAGCCGTTTTTTTTTTACAGTGTTATTTTTTTATTTTTTATTTACAAATTTTTTTTCCTATAACTTCTATTTTTAAATTCTATTATTTTCTATAACTTCTATTTTACAAAATTTGTTTCATTTTTTTTTAAATTCTATATTTTTCCTATAACTTCTATTTTACAAAATTTGTTTCATTTTT